GCTGATGACACAACTATTTACTCCTGTTTTAATAGTAAATCTGATTGGTTCAATAAAGTCAAATGGGCAGCTGATCTCAAAAGTGACCTACAATCTGTTGTTAACTAGGGCAAGGAATGGCTTGTTGATTTGAACGACCCCCCCACCCCGGCACCCAAAATGAAACTGCTCATTTTCAATCATCTGAAAGAACCCTTTTTACCTTTTATCAGTATGGCTGATGCTAACCTCCAGGAGGAGGATTCATTTGCCTTCTCAGGCTAACATTTTCCACTGACATGAAGTGGAATGATTATTTTAAATCAATTGCTAAGTCTGCTACTAGGATAGTTGGTTTACTGTGTCATGAAAGACAATTGTTGCCAGAATCTTTATTATATAAGTCTACCATTCGTCCATGCATTGAATATTGCTACCACATCTGGTCTGGTGCTTCTGCTATGTGTTTAGAGATTCTTGATAAAATACAAAGATGAATCTGCAATGCTCTTGGTACTGACCTAGCATCTTGGCTTCATTCATTTTGCCATTGATATAATATAGCTTCCCTGTGCCTTTTCCATAAATATTTTCATGGTAATTGTTCTAATGAACTAACAGTTTCTTCTCTCACAATTCTTGTTTGTGGGAGACTCTTTCAGCTTCTTACTTTCCAGTCAATTTTGATCTTGAAAAATTTAAGTGCAAAGTCAATCATTATCTTCTGTTTTCTTAATTCCTGTTCTTTTATTGTTCTTTCTCCTTACTAATGATCATTTTCTCATATTCTCTCATACTGAGTAACCCCCCCTTGCATCTTAGTGGCTTTATTGTCATATTTGAGGTGAAATGATTTAAAAAAAAAAAAAAAAAAAAAAAAAAAAAAAAAAAGATTGCTTATTTACAAGAATAATTGTATATTTACAAGAGTATTAAAATATATGAACCAACTGTAAGGAAATATGTATTATTTACCATTTTACAAAGAAATAAATATGAAAAGAAATTTTTTCATTTATAAATTAAAATAGCTGCGAACAAGAGAATTTAAATAAACACATAATAACGTGTAACTGTAATTAAAAATTTTGAAAAAAAAAACAAACATTTTCTGGCCATTTCTTTCACTTTCTCTCACTACATAAATTTACTAAAATAGTTTGAAAGCATCTCTTCCTCTAAAACAAACAATCATTTAATTTTTGATTTTAGGTGAAACCACAAATATTCAGTATTTTGAGTGGGTGGTCAAAGTTTTCCTTATGTGAAATTACACAATGTCTGTAATTCTTAGTGCAAATATTGTATTATAATTGGTCTATATGTACAGTATTTACATTAGTCGGACTATTGTCCTCATCTTTGTCGCCATATTTGTCACAACGTTTATTTGTTGTACACTCCGGCCTTCTTCAGGTGGTCGGAATTTCGAACTGAACCCTTTTTTTTCACTCACTGGGGTAGACTGTTCTAGTTCCTCAAGAAGACATGGCACAGTGGATAAAGGTGTTGGTTAGATCCAGTGACAGACCCAAAGAGTGTGAGTTCAATACCCGGTTAAGGCAGTGGAGAACTTTCAGAGGGAAAATTAACAGGAGATAACTGATAACTGACATCCATCAAACATGGCACATGGAACTAGAACAGTCTACCCCAGTGAGCGAAATAAAGGGTTCAGTTCGAAATTCCAACCACCTGAAGAAGGCCGGAGCGTACAACAGCCGAAATGTTGTAACAAATATGGCAGCAAAGATGAGGACAATAGTTTGACTAATGTAAATACTGTACATAATACCTCATCTCAGAAATATAGACAGACTCTGGTTTATATGTTTTGATAATTTTGGAATTTTTTATAAATTTTTAAATAAAAAGATTTCTCTTAAAAAATGGTAAATAATAAATCTTTATAAAAAGTAATTAATAAACATTGCATTGTATTTGGTTCACATATTCTAATAATCTTGTAAATAAACATTTTTGAGAGAGTGAAAAGTGTATACAGTAATAGCGGTGTCAAGAGAATAACTATCCTTTTAAAACACTGTTTTCTGAGGGCAAGAAGGATAAACATTGCCAAGATTTAAGACATGAGAAAGGCATTTTTCAATGGATGATTCATATCAACATATTCCTCTTAAGACTGCATTTTTTGAATTAAAAAACAAAAAGACTTTTAAGAGGGTTTTATGCTTAAGCCAACTTATATGTTAGCATATATAAAAAGAAAGTCCAGATTACACCAACAACACACAAAAAAATATAAAATAGACAATTTTTTTCTTTGATGTATTTTTTAGTGCAATTTAAAATACTGAATTAAAAAAATACTGACTCATTAGAACCACTTTGTTACTTTGATTGCATCTTAACCTCTTCCCTGGCACAGACGTGTATATATGTTTTTACTGAAAGTGTCTTTTTCACACACAAACGAATAAACATGTCCAAGACACAATGTTCAAAAACTAGCTACAGACATGTTTATATGTCGATCTAGATTCTTTTTATGCCCTTCTGAGTTTGAAACAAGTCCAATTGTCAACTTATATGGCTGGTAGAGCCATTAGCCACCAGTCAGGTATTTCAAGGGGCTTCAGTTTCTTAGTTACTATATTAAAAACAAATAAAAGAATTTGTCTGAAAATTAAACATTTTCCCCCCAAAATAATTGGTAGGGAAGGGGTTAAACTGTTCTACCCTCTTGTCTGTCTTGAGAATGTGTCAAATTTACCCTTTTGACATATGTATTATACAGTGAGACCCGGATATAAGAGAGATTTTCTCTGGTCCCAAATTATAGCCTGTGTTAATGTATATAAAATAGACCAAACCCGGATATAAGAGAGATTTTCTCTGGTCCCAAATTAGAGCCTGTGTTAATGTATATAAAATAGACCAAACCCGGATATAAGAGAGATTTTCTCTGGTCCCAAATTAGAGCCTGTGTTAATGTATATAAAATAGACCAAACCCGGATATAAGAGAGATTTTCTCTGGTCCCAAATTAGAGCCTGTGTTAATGTATATAAAATAGACCAAACCCGGATATAAGAGAGATTTTCTCTGGTCCCAAATTAGAGCCTGTGTTAATGTATATAAAACAGACCAAACCCAGATATAAGAGACTTCTTCTCTGGTCCCGACAACTCTCTTATATCCGGGTTACACTATAGTTTCTCTTTGACACAAATAGTGAGAGGTATAGATATAGTGATTTTCTAAGCCCGGCTTAGATGTGGCACAAGGCCAAAAGTATGGGGCACCCAGTGAGGATCGAACTCACTACTCAGTCATAATTGATCTAGCAAGACAAGCTTTCTAACCATTACACCACGCCGAGGTTCCCAGTGAGAGGTATAGATATATATTTGTATATAATTTCTTGTATGACATATCTATATATAAAATCTTTTTCAGCACAATGCATATTTGGTATTCATTTCTTTCAGTTATTCTGGTCCTTCCTTTTGTTGTGTTGAAGTTAATAAATCACGAATATACTAATGTCTATTATGCACATTGGAGAGAGGAGATAACCCAAATAGATATTCTCTCTTTCCAAAGTACCCCATGAGAGTCTTAGATTGTTGTTATTCCTAGAACATAAGTTTTGTTCTAAGGAATTCAGTTCTTCCCTTATTGTACCAAATATAGTTCAGTATTCAAGAAGTGAACACATAGCTTTCAGAGACACAGAAGAGTTCTTTCTTTATACCTGAAATGAAGAATCAGGTCAACTCAACAAGAGACCCAGAGTTGGTTGCGTGTGGTGCAATAAGCATGAGGATTTACGGCATCCTCTTCCACAATTAGCTGTCGAAAGAGGACATTCTACATTGAGTAAGTGGCGCCAACAAAATTTGCATACAAATGATACTGGGCAAATATTAGCCAATAGTCAGCATGGGTCTGAGAGAGCTATATAACACCAGTTTTTTCTCAGTTGGAAAGACTTCTTTTGACATGCAGAAAACCAGACAAGACGAACACAATGACATATATTAGGATAGGAATGCAACGTAAAGTAGAGGATTTTGGCTGAAATTCTATAAAAGTTACCAAATGTAAAAGCTGAATGGTGCAATGAATCTAAAATGTGATAAAGTGGTTCCAAAGAATCCGAATATTGTTAAGTTCAGCGTTTCAAATGAATTCTTTACTGTTTTGTAACAAATAGAAGTGCTGTCTGGAAAATTCATTCCAATGGCAATTTTTCAACTCATAAACAAATAATAAGATATTGATTCAAAAACATTCCGGAAGTAATAATTTATAAAAACAAGTTTAAAAAACGCAGAACAAAATAATATAGTACCGTAGAGAAAAGTACTTGTAAAATAAATATGCTGTACGACTAAACACGGGGGGGGGGGCGGTGAAGGAAATAATTTAATCGTGCCGGGACTTGTATTTAGTACTCAAGAGCACTAAACAATTATCTTATAATCACCTTAATCATTTTTGTTTTCAACTAGAGACTAGCTTCATATTCTAAGCCGTCGTTTGTAAAACCATCCATCCAAAATAAAACGAAATATTGGCCGAATTAAAAAAATAAATAGTTCAACAAATTTGAAGTAAAAAATAAAAATATAATTCGACATTTGTAACCAAATATTTCAATTATTCGTCGGATTCCAAATTTTAAAGCGGGCTCAAAGTACGAGTTTAGTTTTTAATAATTTTATTATATTATTTATTTGCGCGCGCTAAGGGAGGTAAATCAATATTTGGTTTATAGAATTCGTTTGAAACGCTGAACTTAACAATACCCAAGAATCGGTGTTTTTCTCGTTGAATTCTTATTATTAAAAACAACAAAAAAAAACACTAGTCTTAAAAATTCAAACAAAAAGAAAGCCGGAGTGCACACCGGTCAAAAAAAAAAAAGAACATGGGAACGAACTGGTCGTATGAATCGCTTAATTTCAAAAATTTAAAACAAAAATAAATCTTATTCTTTTTTAAATATATCTTCTTTTTTTTAATTTGTTGATATTTTTTAAACGTGAACTTACTTTCAGTTGCTTGATAATCACGAATTTCCAATTTTCCATGCTAACGATAAATAAAAACAAACAATGAATGGTGACCAGCAAGCAGGCAACTTCAGTGGCCACAATGACATTTTTAATCAAGTTGAGCTGCATAGGAATCAGAAACATAAAGAATAATCCGCACAGATTTGCCAGAAGAATACCATTTACTGTTCGTTTTGAAGGTAACCGATTGACTAGTAAAACGTGAGAAGCCATTTTGAATCAAGGGAGATCACTCTGGTCTGAGTTATTTCCCTTGCTTAAAAAACTTAAAAAATATCTCGGCTTGTAGGAGTCTCGACAAAGTCCAAATACAAGATAATGAAAATTCTGCGAAGAGAACTGATTAAACATTGCAAGCCGTTGTTTTACTTTAAGGCACAATGTTGGATGTACAGGTGGCGTCATAGGTATTGGCTAGGAACGAGAAATCGACTAGGCGAGTTAGGATTCTGATCGAGATCGTTACAATCACTTTTTTTAACAAATATCAAGGATCTTCCCTCCCACAACTTTGAGTTAAATACTCTCTAGCCATAGCTGGCAACTAGGAGAAGGATAACTCTGAATTTTTAAAACTGTATGGCCATGGTAGGACATATACTTGAACTGTAATTAAGGTCCGCTGGGCATAATTGTAGTATAAACTATAGTTTTTTGTGGATGCTGAAGAAAGACAAATGGGCCTGTTATGGTACTGTTAATAAGAATGAATCATTTGTAAATGTCTGCTTATGGCTGCGTGAATAACATGGCTATGCAATTTATATTTAATGTAAAATATCACAAAATATGAAATATAAGAAGGAATAAAACTTTTATTCCTTTTATTATAAAAGGTTTTAGAACAAACAACATAATATTTATTTTGTGTCAATGATGTACATGCATAGAGTTTTAGTGCTATGTCCCTTTGACTGTGAAATATTTTTTTTTTATCTGAGCTCAAAAGTTGAATGAATTATAAAGCTGAAAAATGCTGAATAAACTTTAGCTTTAGAAGATTATTTCAAAGAGAAAAGTTCTTGTTGCTTGTTTGAAATGTTTGTAAAATTTTCGTACGTACGTGCATGCGTGAAAATACTTTTAACGTCTGACCACCCATGGTCGAGACGAGAATCTTTCAAGATCACATCTTTGCAGGAAAAGAGAACAGGAGAGAGAGAGAGAGAGAGAGAGAGCAAGCTCCTGTCTGAATGTAATCACGTGACAGGATCAGATAAAATTGGCGGGAAAACTTGACTTGGTCACGCGCTGGAAAATATTTCTACGTGGGTGGATTGCAACGCCCACTTGTGTGTATTGACCAATTAGAAGTTGATATTTCCTGAAAATTTGTATGAAGCTGAATAAAATTCAACATTGATAAGAAAGTGATAACGAGATGCTAAAGGCCTCAGCAGATGAACATGCTCGTAAACGAACAGCGATGCTGAGGCTGAGAAATCCCACTGATGACCAATGTGCCTTCAAGTCGAAAAAGCTTTGATAGTTTAGCATTCTGCTTCCATTTGATTGTATTATCATTATTTTCGATTCAGCGAATACGGTTGATCGAAAGAGATTTCAATGCATTTTCTATGTAATAGTTTCTTTTGACCTACAACTAAATAAATACTTGGCGACATCTTCAACCCTTTCTCTTTCTTTTTTTGCTTTCTCTCACATACAAGACGTAGCTCAGTGGAGAGGTCGCGTTTGTCCCTTAGGGGAAATCGCTATGAAACGTCATCACACACACACACACACACCGTACATCTACGAACATCTATTCACTCAAGGACACAGAAACTTATCAACTTCTAACAGTGAGATTTTCATCAGCAAACAGCACGCCGTCAGAGCACGTATAATTTTCAATATATTAACTCAATTCATCTTAACTGATGTTCTTCCTCTCGAAAGTGTTAAACTAAAATGTACATTTTAGTACCAAATACTACTTCTCGATTTTCAAGCGAAGACTACAATTTTCTCTCACTCAACAAGTTTCTTTGAACTCATCTTATTCTAGGTACCTCCATGAGATCGCTAAAAAAGAGCATAGCATGATGAAAATGACGCCAAACTTGACGAAAACAAAATTTTATCGTCTAAATGTTCATGTTATTATTAAGAGGAAAGATCAAAGTATTTATGGGTATTTTTTTTACATTTTTTAATCGTTCCATGTACGTCCGAAATTTTCGTTAAAAATCTTGTTTTTTTTTTTTTGAGTCAGCAAAATTGACAGATAATTGATCATGGCATCCATTTTTTTTCCATTTTATAAATAAGATGAAAATCTCACTTTGAAATTCTTTTAAAAATCTATTATCACTTTTTCAAAACTTATTTTAAGAAAATCGAAAATTATAATGTTTATTTAAAATATTTTGAACCAAGGTTGACTTAGCTTCTGCGCCGAAAAGAGAAAATAAAACAAAGCAGGTCATAACCTTTCGCGTCACTTGACAGGTGTTGAATGACGTATTGACGGATTACGTGATCATAATTTGTTCTACGGAAGGTGAAAAGTGAAGTTATTTAGATTTAAGTGAACAAATTATTTACCTCGTTATTTTTAAGGAAAACTTTCAGCGCTTTAATTTTTTCTTTTTTTTTTTTTTGTACTTAGCTTTCACCTTTACGTTTACGATGCTTTATGGAAAATATATTATAAAGAAATTAAAATAAGACTGTTAAGAGTGAGATTAAATTTTATATTTCATAAGAAAGGTATCTAATTAATTTATAGGTACCTTTCTTATGAAATTTTATCAGAAGTGTACATAAAATACTATAATTTTATGTACATTTATTACATTTTACTGTGTTATTTGTATTTCCATTCATTTTATTATTAATTTTGATATTTCATTTATGGAAAAATGTCATAACTGAGATTAATATAAAAATAAGATCATATAAATTTCATAAGATGATACTGATACTTATAGGTACCCTTCTCAGTTGAAATTGAAAAATCAAATTAACTTCTCCACAGGTGTTTCGCAAAAGTAAAGGCCTTAACAGTGGAGAACAATGCTTAACTCAAATAATGCAACTTAATTGTATTCTAGTTGGTCTTCCGTACTTTATAATTACAGCCCAATTATAAACACAAAATTACATTTCTTAATTACTGCGGATCTTCTGATTAGTAAAAAAAATGATACAGTTTACAACGCGCTAAAAAAAGATCTATCACATAAGAAGACTTAGGAGACCAGATGCGGCTTTTAACTAATTTTATAATATTTTAACAACTTAAATGTAAAAATCTATTATGATTAAAGAAATAACAAATAATTGTATTAAAAATTCATTTTTTATCGAAAAAAATTTTACTTTCAGAAAATATTGTCCATATTCATAAAAACAACTAAAAGCAAATTGAAATTAAATAATATCTTTGTTTTATTGAGTTTTGTATGTTGCAATTCAAAGCTGATTTTCAGGTAAGGGGGTCCAATTAAAAACAAAAAAAAAACATGTGTTTTTAACTATTGTAATCACTAAACCTGATGCGATCGAATTTCTAGCATTTTCATAAAATTAGTTATGGTGGAGGGGGTGTAATAAATATAAAAAAAATTCTGCCATGACTTTAATAAAAAAAAAGAACATATAATAATTTCGATCATCTGTGAATAGTTTCTGAAAGTTTCATTAACATCCCACAATTATTTTTTATTTTTGCAAGATTTTCCAAATTAATGTGTGTCAAAAAAAAAAAAAAAAAAAAAAGTGCTAAAAATTGTATATGTTATTTTACTAGTTCCGGTAATACAAAGAGAAACAAGGATTTTTTAATCAAAATTTAAAATGTTCTAAAAAGAAGGAAAAATTTTAAAAAATAATTAAAAAAAACTTTGGTCTTTCCTAAGCATTTACAGACAATAAAATTTTGTTTTCGTCAAGTTTGGCGTCTTTTTCATCATGCTATATGATCCTTTTTTAGCGATATCACGAAGGTACCTATCTTATACCAAAATTCTCAATTTACAATACCTTCTTATCGAAGAACATTTCTTTAATTGAGATTGACTATTATTTCATGAACTGAAATCTTTTTCCCGAGTTCACTTAAAAACACTTTACCTTGAAAGCCTTAAGCAATTCAATCTTGTAGTGCCACGCCTACATTTCTTCAATTTTGATTAGTCGATTAATACATACTAAAAATAATAGGACAATTTATCGATCGCATTTCACCATACTGAATTTTTTCCTACATTTTGCTCACAAACAAGTTTTGCTATAAAATCACTGATTGGTCCATTTTTCGTCCAATCGAGTATTTTTCGTGTACATTCAAAAATATATCCTGCGTTTGTGCTGGGAGCCACACAAAGTAATATAAATATTGGATGCATTCCAAAAAACCAGTAGTAGTTCCAGTACCACAGTAGAGTACAGACCAGAGACAATAGATCTCAACTACTCACTCGTGTTATTCATCCTACTCACTCCGCACGTACATACACACACAGATACAGAACTTAATTTGATACACCACCAGTTCTCTGTGGACATACTAAGTTGAATCAACTCTGTTAGTTGCAAACACAACTGAACAATTTCCTGAAGAAATATTCTATTTCAACACTGAACTCTGAACTTTATACTCAGACAAATCTTGCTTAAAACATTGCCTAACAGTTAAAGGGAAACTACTTTTTTTCCCTCCCTATTCACACATTATACAACTACCTTGTATTATTGTTGATTTTTAATGTATATGTTTATTCGTTGAAACAAAGTGGTTCTTCATTGTTTTTCCTTGATATTTTAAATATTATGTATGAATGTTAAATGCTTATTCAACACGCAGCCACATTTATCTATTTAACCAAACACCATTTCTACATTAGTATCCACCGACGTTTAGATTAGCATACAGCATTGGTGACTTCAACACTCAAGAAAGCAGCATTCTACAATTTAACAGTTAAAGGTAAATAACTCTTGCTATATTTAAACATTGAAATTTTCAACTATAGAAAGAATGTTATAAATTGTTTAATTAATTTAAACCGATATATTAATTACATATTCTATATCACTTTTACACAACGTGAACCTTCTTCACAGGAACACATTTCACCTGTTAAAAGAACATTTCCAAGTAACAAATACAAACT